AGGTGTTCACACAAGAAAGGTTAGAGAAATTTCATTAAAATTTTGAATTTTATTTTAATTGCGTAAATCCTAACATTTATATGATCACAAGATCAACTAATTCCTCTTTCTTGTTTAATATGGATTAATCGACAAACTGTTAATTGCGCGTCATGTACACATAAACAGTCTAAGTGATCATCTTTTTCTTTTGGTTGTTGTTGTTGTTGTTTTTCAGTTGGTATAGTGAAATTATAAACTATGTTAATTTATCATATTATTGCCAACTGGTCTAATGATCATTGTAGTCTTGATCCGTATATTAGTTATCTATTTAGTTGCATCACTACCCTTGCAATGATAGAGCTATATGTAAGTTCATACATGAATAATATTTCATTAGGATCATATAAGTATGTGTAGTTATAACCATTCCAAGATGTGTCACGAGATGGTGCATTAGGAAAGACTCAGACATTCCATGGTCCAGCTCTGTAGAGTTCAATGGAACCATTCATAATGAATGTTTGCAGGAATCCACCAGTATCGAATGTCCAGGTAAACTCACCTCTGGAAGGATCATTTGTGCTCTTCCATGACGAAAGGGAACGATGAAAACTAGTTTTTAGATTAAACCCAACCTTCATTCCAGGTAAAGTTGTGTCACCTGGATTGTCAAAACTTTGCCACTGGTAGTTCTGAGGCTTATCCTTGGCTGCATCTCGAACAACAAGAATGCCTGAATCAAGGAGTTGTGTTACTGGATTTTCCCCATGTCTAGTGGAATCGGAGGACCAAATTACTCTGCCAAAACCATTTAGAAGAGTAAGAATTCCTTGTCTGGTAAAATTTAGCGCACTGGATGTGTCATTGAATGGATTTTCTCTATTACAGCTTAGAACTTGAGACTAAATGAGTTATACGAAGATTTTAGTACTACAACAACTACTATGTCTCAATCCCAAGCAAGTTGTAGTAGGTGGACGGCTAGCTAAAACTAGTCATTTTATGATGAATCCTCGAAATACTCATATAAAGATGTTAATTCACTAAAATGTACCTGGGAGGAGCTGATTGTAACCGCTGTGACCAGCACGAAGTCTTGCCAACACACCGATCAACGGAGCATTATTGTAAGTGGGAGCTCAGTTTGCTCATAGTTATCTCTTTGATCAGTCAAGTTGTCATAGGCATCATGTCCACTAATAAGAGCACCAGTAAGAAGATTAGGATTGCTCGCCTTTCTACTATACCAGGTAGCATAGCCTGCCCGACAGCTAACAAAACTAGGATTAACCTTAAACGAGACAATGGAGGAAGCTCTGTGGTGTACTTGTCTTGGGTTATCGTTTCCATATCCTACCATGTAACTTGTTGCTCTCGGGTTGTCACCAAGAATGTAGTCCACCTAGAACAACATCAAACATGATGATTAGTTCACCAAGAACACATTGCTAGTTCCATGCTTCAATTTATGATGAATCGTCATAATACAGGCTTGTAGCACTGTATCAAAGTTAAAATATTTACCTGAGACTTAGAGAATGAGAGAAGCTCATTCGGAGAAACAGAACCAGAAGAACACTTGAGGTATTTGCCAGCAGAGGCCAAATAGTCAGAATAAGTAGTGGCAAGGAATGCAGCACTAGTAACAAAATACATATTGTTCCATCT